TTTTGATTGATCTGATCGAATCTCGGCACAATTTGGATCCTCCCATTATAACATCGATCCTTTTCTTAGGAGTGTTCGGAGTTCCGGGCCCATTGGGCTTGTGTTTCTTTTCAGGAGGATTGGACGCTTCGGAATCTTCTTTTTCTTTATGATAAGATTCCACAAACTCTTCGATATTGAAGTTAGCGAGCTCTCCAGCTGCCCACAGCTCGGTGAGGTGCTTTTTGAGTACGCTGCAATCTTTGGTGGAATGCCCATTTAATCTATGAATATCGCAATAGGCACTCTCATCTCTAACCCATGTATTAGAAGAATTGTATCTTCCTTTGTTCGGGGAGGGTTTTCCTACGGCATTTGTAGCAGGATTAACTCCGAACCGTTTTTGATCTTTTGGTTCGAATTTTTTAGTCAGATTTCCAACAACCAATTTTGCTGGCCGATGCTTTTTAGCGAGGCTAAGCTTTTCTTCTTCTGCCTCCATCCAATTAGTAGCTCTGAATAAAGCATCTTGGATAGTGCTCGGACGATTGACGATGATTTCTTCCCGAAATCGGGATTCATGCCAAAGTCCGTTCCTTAAAGCAGAAAGGGCAGCAGCGTATGATACCCCAGGAATTTTGGCTATCACTTCTTTGAATTTAGCGATATACTTGCGAAGTGGTTCGTTCTGACCTTGGGTTAAATTCCATAGATCTACATCAGAGGTTGCCTTTTCCATAAACATGGAATACTGTTTTAGGAATGCGGAGGACAATTCCTTAAAATTATCAATAGATTCAGGCTCCAACTGAATGAACCATAATAAAGTCGATCCGGAAAGATTCTCAGAGAATAGTTTGCAATATCCGGCATCTTCCTCGTCTGGTTCTAGATCAATTCTGCCAGCAGCGATCTAAAAATCTTGAGGTGATTTTTAGAATCACCTTTAGCATCGTAAGTTGATAATTTGATCTTTCGAGAATCTTTGATCCGAAGGTTGGAGATTCTCGAAGTGAAGGGTGTTCGTCGAGTTTCTTCGATTACTCGATCGATCTCAGGTGCCGAACTGGTCGCCTGATGAACCTTCGACTTCATCTCATCAAGCTCTTGACGAACTTTGACGAAATCATCGGAAAGGATGACATCAGGTTCTTCCATAAGGAATCCTTCGTCAATAGTAGGATTGCCCTGATTTTGGGGATTTTCATCCCCGGTTGGATTGGACCCATCTCCTACGGTTGTCTGATTGCTAGTACTAGCAGGACGGCCCATAGGAGGAGTTTGAGTGTTCCCGGATCTGTTTAGTGTGGGAGTTTGGAACAGCCTGCGCTGATACGCTGTCGTTTGTGCTGAGGACAAATTATCTAAACGGCTTGAAACAACGTTCTGCGCGTTTGATAAATTTGTTTGAGTATTTTGAACACTCGTTAAAGTTTGCTCGATTGAGTTTAACCTTTCACCAAAAGTGGCGTTGGCACTAGCGAGTGTACTCATCTGATTGGTCAGATCGGTGGTTGACTGAGTAAGCGAGGCAATTGCATTGCTCAAAGCTTGCTGATCAGCCATAGTTTCTTGGTTTGAAAAAGAGAGATTTTGAGATCAAAGAGTTTTGCGGTACTCCCCACAGGCGGCACCAAAATGTGGATGTAGGATTCACACTTGATTGTCTTTAAGTATATTTGTGGAGAAAAACTCTAAAATCAACAGATGAAAATTTGGAATTGAAAAGGGAAGTAACCAAGAAACTAAGCGAATGAACTTTGAAAAGAATAAAATAGTAAAAAGCCTAGCAAAATTGTAAAAGAAAAAGTATGTTGTATTGCTTGATCGTAAGAGGAAAAAGTCGTTCTTCCTCAAACACATGCGTTTGAGGTTGTTTTTATAGAGAAAACATGATCAATGCGGTCACTTACTGCTCATAATTGCATTGATCCGCATTAATCATGTAGGTTACAATTTGACCGAAACGGCTTGAATTTGAACTATCTTGGGCTTCGCGTGGATCTTCCGAACTCTTTCTTGTTGACTCCGAACTCCTGCGTCTTGACGCTGCCGCTAACCTCGAACAATATTATCCTCGCTTCGGCCTTCCTTTATGCGAACTGTATGTTGAATAAGAGCGAACTCCGTACTGGTAAAGATCGAGCTCTTTAATAAACTGAATCGAACTTCCGACAGGTCGAGCTCGATTCTCGCAATGAAACATCTAGAAATCCAAGAGGATTATTATGTAATAATGACGTGGCAGATCCAAGTGGATCCTACCGAAGATGTGTGGGATCCGACCCCAACACCAATGGGCCCCATGTCCTTTCTCGGGCCCATGGGCCCACCCTTGTCCGACGGCCGGTCCGTTACATCCGGGAGGCTTTAAAGACTTTTTTACCGACCCTACAAATCACCACATGATCTTTCCCTATGTTTTGTCCTCACTCACACAGTTCCGACAATCACTTCCCGGAAGGTCACCCATCCTGAAACTACTCCAGCCCAAGCACGCTTAACTGTGGAGTTTTCTCAGGATGTTTGACCGAAAAGATAAGTGCAATTTGGTGACATAGGTGGCAAAATCAATTCTTTTAAACATCTCCGCATGCACCACCACATTCCTGAAATCGAGGTGTTACAATCTCGGCGGGATCCGACAAACCCAGACGATTCCACTATCTCACTGGAATTAATTACCGGAGTTTTCTATTACAAGGTTGGAGCTAATGTAACGCTCTCTTGGAAGAAGATGAAATGAAGCAAGAGAGAGTATATTACATCTCACGATCCTCTCTCTAATTTCTAAACAACCTTCTTAATCATATCCAGTGGCTGAGCTAGAATTTTCTTTTACCGGGGTCAAATTATATAAATAATTTTTAATAAAATAGATGTGATTTTTTTTTTCAAATTATATTGCAAATAACTTATGATTTTTAATTAAATAATAATATTTTGATATTTCTAAAAAAATTTGGTTTGTATAAAACATGATAATTGATATACATAAAAGACAATTATAAATGGGAAAAAAGAATAGATAAAAACAAAAATAATAAAAGTATAGTGGAATACAAGTAATTATATAGATTCATAGTAATTAAAGAAAAGAAAAATATGCTATTGAAGTACATGAAAACATTTTTCCACAAAACTAAAAATAAACTTATATATAATTATTAGTCGTTATAACCCATATCATTTTGCAATATTGAAAAAGTTGTGGTTTAAAGGGTCAAAAGAGTGGTTTTCACAATGGACACTAGGGTCAATTTATAGGATTTCAATTGAATATCTACATACTTGTTTAAATTTGCCATAGTATTAGTTTAATTTTAAAAATTCACCGGGGTCAGTTGACCCCATGATTGTATGCTGCCTCTGCCCATGATCATATCTTACTTAACTAACCCAAGTAAGAGCCCAAACATGAACCAGTTACTAATCCCAACTTATCCCAAACCTAGAACTAACCCCACACCCAATAATTTCCACATTGGACGTGTTCTTGGAAGAATGTTTCACTTTGAGCTTTTTTTTTAATTACTAAAAAGTTTTGGGTCTAGGTCTGTACATCTCCTAATGCCTCAGACCAGAGTATTTTATATGATCATTTTCCAAGAGTCACTCGAACCGGCGACCTCTAGGATTTGTCTGAGAGTTTTTACATTGACATTTGATCACTTTGAGCTTTCTAATCATACAAAGTTATAAAACCAACTCTCTAGAAAAATACTTTTAAAGCAAATTCACTTCCAAAATCAAAACCTTTCTGCTTACACATAATCTTCTATGAGAGATACAAAGAGTGAAAACTAAGAGTTCAAGTGAAAAATCCAGAGCTGTCACAATCTCCTATTTGATTATCTTTGCGGAAACAACGATAAAGTTATAACTTTTTTATGGGTTTTTCTTCTTCGTATATATACCATGCTACGTGAACGAAACGAATCAATAAATCTTATCCGTGATTTGTTAAGTTGGAATCGATAAGAAGATGACAATAAAGGTGAAGAAGGAGGTTAAGGAATGCTTAACTTGTCCTCTATGTACAAAGATCGGATAGAATTTATTGATTAGCATGGTGCATGTGCGAAAAATGAAATGTCACACTTGTCTCCCTCAACATCGAGACGGCGTGTGTAGCATATTTCACTTTACTTATCTTTTCCTTTATTCCACTTTCTTAATTCATAAAATCATACTTTTCCATAAATCTTTCTTTTACAAAAAAAAAAAAAAAAAAAAAAATTCAATATAAACTTGTCTTAAAAATAAACTTAACTCGTTGAAAACCATTAAATAAAAACATATAAGAAATTAACAATAAAAGCCAATAACCCGAGGTTCCCAAAATACACCATAAGCGAGACAGACTTGCACGACTATTCACGATTCTCACCCGACCTGGGAAAAAATGGGACAAAAATGGGTGAGTAAAGAATTACTCAGTGAGAGGATCCTTTCCGCCCATTAGAAATTTGATACACAAAACTACCTTTAAACAACAATCAACAATCACATAGAAAAAGATACAACACTCATATAGTCTGCACCACTATGCAAACTATAACACAAAACTCATTATCGCCCTTAGCGAGCTCTCCACATCAATTCCAGGTTCGAACATCTCCCCTGATCTTTGAACCTATCTAGTTCCACTAGACTCGTCAATCTATTATTGAGGTACAAAGAACCCGTCAATTCAATGTAGACCATTTCCACTTTTTCCACTATTCATCATCTCAAAAGACGACCTTCACAATTCTCTCTCACTCGTGATGATCTCTTCCCCTTTGTCACAAACGTACAAATCACCACAACAGAAGCAACACCAAAAGCTTACAAACTCAATAACGTAGATGGTGGCTGACTTAAATTAGGGCTTACGATCAGTACGTGACGGTGGCTTGAGTTGCTGCGACGAAGAGGGAGATATAAATACTCATATGTACATATATATATATGACACATAGGTTTTAGTTAAGAAGATGGCCCTTAGTGGGCTTTAATGAGAAATTGGGTCTCACAATTCTCTGATAATGATTAAACCGCCCACACCAAATCTTGCGATCATGAACACGAACTTGTACGACCTTGGAAATTTAATTTCAAACTTTATCTTTTTCAACATCAACCCCTTGGTTTCCTACGGCGTACACACGAGGTCCTAAAGCTTGTGTCTTAGGAAATAGTTGGTTCTCTTCTACTAGAAACGTAGTGCACTCCCGTGCGTAATGGCCCGGCTTCCCACACTTCCTACAATTATCATTACCCTTGGACAATTCTCCCTGATATGACCAACTTCACCACACTGAAAACACTTGCATGCATCCATCCAACAAACCCCTCCATGTTGCCTATTACACCTGGACCTAGTACACTTAGGGTAACGATTTTGACTTTGTCTTGCATCACGGTTATCCCATCTACGTTTCTGAGACTCTACTTGCTTTGTTACCTTTCCCCTGAGCCCTCTTGAGATCCTTGGCTTCTTCCTCTAGTCCTCTCTCCATCATAGCAATCTCCTCGACTAACTCAACCAAGCTAGTGTATGCTCGAATGGAGGAACGATTACGAATATCAGCCCTCAGTCCCCTCATGAATCTACGCATCATGTCCTGCTCTCCGAAATTCCTCACACAGAATCTCCTTAGACGAGTGAACACTGCTTCATACTCTCTAATAGACATCGTGCCCTGACGAAGCTCCAAAAACTCATGATCTAGCTGGTCCATAGCTTCCTGCGAAAAATACTTATTATTGAACTCCCTTAAGAAATCTTCCCAGGTAGACACAAATCCAATAGGTAAGCTCCTCTTAACATTTCTCCACCAATGATCCGCTTCTCCCCGCAAGTAGTGCACTGCAAGATCATTCTTAAACTCCTTTGGGCACCTCGTTGTCCTAAATTTTTTAAGACTATTATTATTATTACTAATATTTTCAGACTTAGCCTTCCGGGTCAGAACCGGCTTGACTTTAACCTCCGCTCTGATACCATTTGTCACAACCGTCTCCCTCAACATCGAGACGGGGTGCGTTCACTTTACTTATCTTTTCCTTTATTCCACTTTTTTAATTCATCATGTCATAGTTTTCCGAAAATCCTTCTCTTACAAAAAAAAAAAAAACTCGATGTAAACTTGTCTTAAAAATAAACTTAAATCGTTGAAAACTATTGGATAAAAACATATAAGAAATTAACAATAAAAGCCAATAACCTGAGGTTCCCAACCATATGCGACAGACTTGCACGACTATTCACGATTCTCACCCTGACCTGGGGAAAAAGGGGGAAAAATGGGTGAGTAAAGAATTACTCAGTGAGAGGATCCTTTCCGCCCACTCGAAATACGATACACAAAACTACCTATAAACAACAATCAATAATCACATAGAAAAAGAAACAATACTCATATAGTCCGCACCACTATGCAAACTATAACACAAAACTCATTCTCACCCTTAGCGAGATCTCCACATCAATTTCAGGTTTGATCATCTTCCCTGACCTTTGAACCTATCTAGTTCCACTGGACTTGTCAGTCTTTTATTGAGCTACACAGAAACTTTGAACCATTTTCTACTTTTCCATTTTTTCCACTGTTCATCATCTCGAAATATGATAATTCCACTTTCTCATATAAAACATATAATATCTTGTCATCACAATGACATTAACTCAATCATCCTATATCACTAAAACAATCATCATATCCTCAATCCTAATTAACAAGTCATTACTACTTAGCAAACAGATCTAATCCTATGCAAGTGAATCATGAAGCATAAAAATAGAAACTTGTAATCGTATATCCGCAGATCACACCCTCACCTTTGCCTTTTGATGACAAAGAGCCGCTCACTTAAGTATCTAAACAAACGCACCAGTAACTTCAGAATGGATCGTTAACTTCTTAATCCCACCATTGAATTCAAACTTACTGTACCAGGAAGCTCTCTCCAAAATTTCAGCTTGATCGGATTAGTTTTGAACCTCCAAACACTGTCCCAAAGAAGGTACCTCAGATCTGTTATTTTAGGGTTTCAGATTAACCAGTTTCAGGTGTTTCTTGTGCACAAAGCAAACGTCATGGCGGTTAGGGTTTACCTTTTCTTGCAACTACGACGGCTCCATACGCTTCCCTGACACTCCCTCTAACCGTATCCACCGTCAGCTTGTGGTCCACTGATCCGAGATGACCGAAATCTGTTCTCCAAAAGCCCAACTTGAATCTCGTAATGGAGAACCGTTTGTTGTTGTGTCTTCCTTGCAGCGAGACCTATCCAGCGACACCAAAATCGTGATCTTGTTCCTTCAAATCAGACGGGAATATGCTCACCAATACCTCTACTTGAACTGATCTCTCCTTCCTCTTTTTCCCTCAAAACACAAGTAGTTTGAGATTTAAGCCACTAATCCTCATGGTAACAACAAAGACTACATGAAAAGATAACAAATTAAGGCTAGGTTTCCTTACCCAACCAAATGGAGACGAACGGTGATGAGTGATGGAGACACGACCTTCACAATTCTCTCTCACTCGTGATGATCTCTTCCCCTTTCTCACAGACGTACAAATCACCACAACAGAAGCAACACCAAAAGCTTACACACTCAACAACGTAGATGGTGGCTGACTTATATTAGGGCTTACGACCATGACGTGGTTGCTGCGACGAAGAGGAAGATATATATACTCATATGTACATATATACATGACACTTAGATTTTAATTAAGAAGATGGGCCCTTAGTGGGCTTAGTGAGAAATTGGGTCTCACATGAAAACCATAGAAAAGTTTATAGCTTTCTCTTTGTTTTTCGCACCGATAATCAAATTAGAGATATTTAGTGTTCAAAAAAAAAAAAAAAAAAAAAAAGAGATATCAACTTTAGTTTTTTTTTCCGAACTCTTAGTTTCTGCTCTCTATCTCTCTAAAGAAGATTCTGTATAAGAAGTTAGGTTTTGATTTTGGAAATGAATTTGCTTAAGAAGTATATTTCTAGAGGGTTGGTTTTGAGACTTTGTATGATTAGAGAGCTCAAAGTGGAAAAGTATAATGATTCTAGAAAAGCAAGGATGACAAAGAGAGATTTGGGAAAATGTTTTGTGGTCCAATGTTGTGATAACTTTATAATTTTCTCCAACCATTAATTGTAAATGTTTAGATTTCACAATATCAGAAGCATGATATAGGTTTATGTAATTGTATTGTAAGGTTTTTTTTTTTTAACCAAGTGTTCTTGGTCTAGTGGTTGCCACTTGTGGAGGAGTTGCCCTGTTAGTCTAGGTCAGGGATCGATTCCCCGCAAGCGCGCAATTGTTAGATCTCCACTTGGCCACATGGATATTGGCCCTTGCTTTCGGCCCATTTGCATACCCAGAGAGAGAGTCTATCTGTGGGCTGCACCTCCTCCAGGGGATTAGTCTGGGCCCCTCCATAGGTCTGGGATTCCCCTTTTTTATAAAAAAAAAAAAAAAAAAAGTTGAAGTTTTGAGGTTGAAAAGTTTCTCTATTTTTGGATTAATGACGAGTCTACGTAGAGTACCTTATATACGAGCTCATAAATATCTGAGTTTCCGATATGAGATATCAAAACATTCTAATAAAATATGAAATCGATGCTCAAAGAATTTTTTTTTGAATATAAAACGGTCGAAGGCGAAAATGCGAAACTCGTAGACGAAGGAGGAGAGAGCGTCGATGTCGGTAAAAAAAAGTTAAAAATCGTTCTCGGCTCGGCCAGGTGGTTTCAGTTTTTTTTTAATACGTCAGAATATTTAAACGGTTCTACTTATTTAAAGTAGAGTAATCATGTCCGACACGTACATCAGCGTATCTTATCAGGTGTCATTTTTTCCCGACAAATATTTAATTCCGACTAATCTTCATTGCCTTTTCTCATCTTTAGTCTCTTTGATTATCTTTCATCTCACTGTATATCGTTTTGAATAAATCAAATTTAGGTTTCTAAAGATTGATATAGTGAATTAACCGTAGTGCAACTTCTCTCCTTGCATAGCAAACTTTTGACTACTTTAGCTACTCATTTCTTTTGAATAAACTCGAAAATAGCTCTAAAGATTGACATTGAGTAGGATTTATTGGTTGCATGTCTCCTTCTCTCCACGACTTCTTAAACAAAAATGATGTTATAAAATTTACAAATTATGTTAGATTTGAAATAAGATGGTTAGTGAAAAGTGTATCTTACAATATATAAAAAAACATTTCCAAGAAATTATAAATTAATATTGATATTAATATTTACGTTTTATAACTATTCAACTTTCACAACTGTATGTCTCAATAACATTTATGTATAAACATATCATTTTTATAGCATAAGAGTTAATGAGAGAACTTCATATTCTTGTTTTGAAATTCATTATTACATGAAATTTAATATATTTATTAATATATATGAATTTTATTGTCAACATTATACTGTATTAAAAATTATGGAGAAAATAAATTTTGAACTATAAATATTAAATTTTGAAAAATAAAGAAATGGTCAAATATTTATTTATTTATTTTTGGTTAAGAAATAGGAAAACTAATTGTGATAAATTATTGTGAATAATTAAACATATTACTAACAAATAAGAAGAAATAATGTAGATGTGTATGAAACTTGGATAAAGACTTTATCATAAAGTGTATAAGTGAGGATGTGATTTGGATCAAGAATTTTATTATGAACCATGGAATGAGGCTTATGATTTAAGCTTCTCATAATAGATTTTACAAGGTTTGTAATATATTTTGTTAAGTTAGATCTTAGTTATATTCTTAAATATGAGGGTCTAAAATCACAAGATTTTATTTTTCTCAGGTTTGCCTCCATGGTTGTAATGTTGAAGCAACTAAAAAAAAAAAAAAAACTGGTTATAAGTTATAACAAACAATAATCAGTCCCAAGTGAGACGATTATAAACAAGACGGTGCATATAAAGTATCCATAGTAAAATATATATATATATATATATATATTTGATAAGATATTTTTGGATGAGTTCGGATATGTTTTATCTTTTACTTTCTCCATCTATAACGTGATTAGAGTTACTAATAAGTAATACCGATAGCATTGTCTTCATATAGTTTAGAAAAGAATGAAAACAATTTGATGATGATTATGTCTTTTTGAATGATATTAATTCCGTTTTGACATCTCAATGGAGCAAGAGTAACACTCCCTTTCATTCAGGGCCGGCCCATGGGTAAAGCCCATGAAGCAAGAGCTTTAGGCATCAAATAATTATAAGTAGTTTTAAGGGCATCAATTTTTAAAATGTTACTGTGGTCTAGTGGTTAGATTGAAGTCTTTTGTTGTACAGGTTATGGTTTCGAATCCCATACATGTTGAAATTTATATTTTTTTTTATAACAGCTTTTGTTAATGGGCCAAAAAATTTTTTGCTTTAGGCACTCAAATAGTTTGGGCCGGCCCTGCTTTCATTGTATGTCACACTCTTTAAATCTTAACTAAGTTATTTGATTTATCACTGTTTAGCTTTTTCGGTGAGTTAATAAAATGTTAACTTTATTAATTAGCCTTGCAATTTTTTGTGTTAAGGTTATGGTTTGTTTAAAGATTTTGTATCAAAGATTATCTTTTTTTTTTCCTCTTTCTTTTGGGCACCACCAATGGCGTCTCATTTGTTCTCCTCTTTCTTTTTGTCATCACCTTTAGCTTCACCAATGAAATCTAAGTATAGGTGCTTGAAAACACAAGGAGAAAAAACAATTTTTTTAAGAATTAATTACGAATTATATCCTTTTCTCGAGTGGCATTTATGGATTATATCCTTTTTCAAACAGTACGTGTATTTGCTACTTTTACTCCACCAAAATGACAAAATTGCCCTTTGTCTAAAATTCTGAATTTACAACTGTTTATCCTCTCAAACTCATTTTCATCGCTCCGATTGAAATCTCTTCGTCAATTGCTAACGGAGAAATCTTCCAACATTGAAGCCCAGGTGAACACGAGCTCTCAAAGCCTCCTGCACAGCTAAAACATGGATCGACGCCGCCTTTATGCTCATCAACAATATGAACCTCGAGATCGGACATCACTCATGGCCTCAATCGATTCTTTCAGTCGAATTATGTCGATGGTGGTTGGGTCTGTGATAAGGTACTCCTTTTCACCTGGTTTCAGATTTTTAAATGTATATAAAAAGATCGAAAGATAATTAAGTGTTGGGAATTTTGTGAACTCGTTTAAAAGATGAAGATTCTTGGATTTTTTTGCTGCGTTTGTGTTTATTAGTCATTGAAGTTTATGGAATTTACCTTTAGGAGTATTGATTTCCCATATCATACTAAAATCAGACTTAAAATTTCTCTTAATCGTTGATAAAGTTTGCTTCTTCTTCAGCGCACACAACATGTTCGATGAAATGCCCAAGAGAAACTAGGGAACTACATTTACTAACCTTAGCTCAACCAATATCAGTCTTAAGGTTGCGGAGAGAAGCTGGACCAGTTTTAGTTATGGTTTAGTAATTAACTTCTGCTATTATAATATCACTATCCGTTTAATTTTGTTGCTTGGGTTCCCCTTTTCAATAGTTCTTAGGGTTTAGTTTTATTCAATATCAATGTTTGTTTAAATCTTTTGTTTGGGTTCTCTTTTTAATAATCACTAGGGGTTATTCCGCGCTACGCGCGGCTAAGTCTTATAAATTATTATTTTGCTAGATATATAAATTTTAAAACGATTATTCAAAATTTCAAATTCAACATTTGACTTACAAATATTTGTAAGGAAGATGATATTATATTTTAAAATGTATGTTGATTTTTAGCTTAAGAATTTCACTGAATAAACAATAAAGTGTAAAAGTATTATTTAGGTTTTTTGTTGTTGTCAAAATAACTTATACTAATTTGAATACAAAGGTTTTGCAATCCAAGATGGAGGATTTAGACAATTAGAACTAAAGCTAGAACGTATGCTTCCATATTGAGCTAAATTATGAGCTTTTTTGTTATAACCGCGATTTACATGACTAAAACAGACTTCTTTAAACTTAGTTGCCCAATACATAAAAATATTATTCAGGTAAAGAATTAAAATATGTATTGAAATTATGATCAAATTTTTAGGACTCTGAATCTCATTAAACACACCATTACTCTAATTATCTTGATGATTAGCTCTTATTTTTATAACTCTGCTTTCGTTCTAGATTTAAACGTGGGTCCTTATTTTGTACTACATAATTAACATCTATCTCCTATTAACCTTATTGGAAAAAGATATTTTTTTTTTAAGTGGAGGTCATTTCTCATGCTCATAACCTTGAGCTTACCTCTTTGGAACGTCTTATTCCTCTAGCCTACTTAGAGATGGAGAATATGTTTTCTCGATCATGGATTTTTTTCTTCTTATGCCTTATTCCTCTAAATATTTAATTCTCGGTGCGACAATAAGCTAGACCATAATTATTGTCGCACATAGTCATTTTAAATCTTTTGAACGTTGAAATACACTAACACCTCGAACATAATTAATTCTCTGTGCGACAATAAGAGCAGAGCTAAATCCACATATATCAATTCGTGGTGAAGTAATCCTCACCTA